GTAACTGAAACGTTAAGAGGTCTTATAAAGACTCGTTTACCACATAAAAACATGAAAATGGAACTTAAAAGCCAAAATCTCACAATTACAATACAATTATTGACATCTCTATATTATCAAAGATACTACGATTAAATGGTTCACGGCAAATGAATATTCTAATGTGATACAAGCTAAACTACTTTGACCAATCTCACTTCTTTGATCATTAGGTTTCACTGAGAGCCTTATTCACTTCAAGTTGCGTCACTTTTCAGTGGGGTCCAATTGTTGAGACATCAAGGAAACGTCGCTGCAAAGAAATGTAAACAAGAATGATGCATATCCGAAGCAGTTAATTAAGTTTTTTGTGACTTTGTTTCCACTAATTCGTTAACCAACGCTATTACAGTGTGAGTGACACGATCAGATAAATAATTTAACATAAGATTTATTCAAGATTTTTTTTTTAGGAATTACGTACAAATCTGAAGTGTCTATTACATTCTTCACATACTGTATGATCGTCTGTATGAATTCAGTTCAAAATACTCGACTCTTAAACACTCAAAAACTGCCCGCAGCTCCCTGTCACACTCACCGCGAGGCGCTGCTCCAACACTCAATGAAACACCATTTGTTTTACAGTGCGCGGGATGAATGAGTTTATATAAGAGCAGCATCTACAGCGTTGAAATTGCAACTGAAGGGAAACTATTCCGAAGCGAAAGTGCAGAATGTCTCTCACAAAGTGTATTTACAACTGTAAACAATCCCGCTTAAAAAGGAAGGTGTTATTTGAAGCGGTTTAACTAAGAACAACTTTTGTGGATTTCATACCCGGATAAGTCTTTGGTGACTTCTAAAGATCTCATCAATCATTGAATTGTTCTCCTTTGTAAACACCAGCTCCCCGAGATTTCTAGGGCTTTCAAGCTTTCAGTTTCCACTCTCCTACATTTTCGGATAATGCAGACTTAAGCTAACCGATTCTAAGTCCTCCTTCTCGTAACAATATTGTAATTAAAAACAGTTCATAGCCGGTAAAGTTGGCTCCATGCCATCTGGCTTAGAAAATTTTCTCCTTCCAAATTCCTCATTCTATTGCCTGGAAACCTCTGCTGGTTGTCTACACGTCAAAGATGGAGCACTCCTGAGTCTTCTTCATCTAAAGTCAACTTCCGTCTTATGTCTCCTGTAAAGTCAACTGAATACAGTGATTTCAAGGGAAGATTAATTTTTGAAGCGTATAGTTTTTTAGCAACGAGAGTGTTTTTCAGGTATCTGTGATAAATGGCCAATCATAGAAAAGTAATCCATGGAAATTAAATCCTTTCCAGTGCCGACCATAAAGAAGCTATTGCAAATTGAAGTGGCGGTTTTGCTTTGCTCTGCAACGTGCGTTCTGATGCAGAACGTCACAAATTGTAAACTAACGCTAGTTAAGATTCAAGAAAAGAATTTCAGGCTATCGTTTTAAGAGGAATTCTTGTTGCTAAAATTCTTAATATATTAAGGAAGTCAAGGTTGACGTGTAAGACCGCACCAGCACATGGGAAACTATACTTCTTGCCGTCCGCTAAAGCTATTTTCTCTTCGGCTGAAAATATCTGCGGTACCTGTGAACAAAGAATTTTATTTGGTTCCTTGCATAACTGATTTGTGGATTAAAAAGTTGTAAAATAAGAGTTCATTACAGCCGTTTGACGTTGTCATAAATGCCTGGCTGTAATTTATTGTTGGAGTTATCTGTCAATCCGGCGAACCATTCATCCCATATTAATCATATATTAAAACATAGCCGTTAGAGAGCTGGGTCTAGAACTATTTTTGTTCAAATTTTATTGTTAGTAGTAATTAATGATCATTTGTTGTCATGACAGCCTTAAACGAAGTTTACGTCATGAAATGATAGTCTGAGTCATTCTTAGCGTGAAAGTGAAATGACTTGAGTGTGATAAAACAATGGAATATCCGGTGTCTTTAGAGATTGGACCGAAAAAGACCGAACAAGTGTGATTTAAGACGGTGAAGATTAACAAAGGGAATGTAGATGGCAAACTTCAAATGTGTCAAATTACGTTAGAGATTTCAAGATTCAAAACCGAGAATCCCTTCATTGTCAACCCTTGACACCTTAGTGTCAGTATACAAATTCTCCTTACTGTTCTCCAAACATTTCCTTGGGTGCTAACAAGGAGAATTTGTTTGACAATCAAGAGCTTCTTTAGTTGGTGATCATTCCCTGTATTCTTGTGTCCTTCATGGGCAATTCGGGGGTGATATTGTAAAGAGAAATTGGATGCTGGTCACTTTTAGGGATCAACCAGTTAATTAAAGGAAAGAGAAGAATGTTTAGGAGGTAAAAATATACAAAACCAGAGTTAAGTTGTTGACGATTCGAAGCCTCGTCACTGTTCGTTAGACGCATTGCAGAAAATCAATGGAAAAAAAAAAACAAACAAAACGAAAAAAATGATCTTAAACTCTTCATGAAGAACGTTGTCGGATCAAAGTTAGGCACAGATCAAGACAGTTCATCTTAGGACTAATTGTTCAAATGGCAGATAACGCTATTCAAAAGATAAATCACTATCAAGCGGGTAATTGTTAACAAAACGTACTGCGCTCTCCACCGGATAGAGATTTATGCAGTGGACTAATCTCTCAAGGGCCTCAAGCGATCATTTCCAAATGATCTCCTTATAACAGAAAACAAACAAACAAACAAACAAACGATGCAGTATTACAAAATTCTGTGACTCATTTCCATTGATTTTATTAGGTACTCCTAAATGAAAAAGGCATTGCCGTGACTTAAACGCAGACTTGTTTTTCCCAAAGTTAATCATAAGTTATTGTTTTTGATATTGTGAGTTTAATCCTACATGCGATTTAACTGAGAAAAAAACCTCTTGATATTGTTCCCGGCCAACTCTTTCAATATCAAAGATAATAAGTTTTATTCAACCAGCCAATATCGGCGATCAGAGTTTGATGTCTGCTGTACCATTCGGTCGTAAATTTAATGACTACGGCACGAGGAAAATTAAACCCACGTAATCCGTGCATATGACGTCATTGTTAAAGTAAAGAATATTTGATCGTAGTTCTTTACCAGATTTGCGCTCATAATACAACAACCGACTAGAATTTGAACCCTATAGAAAAATTTTGTTCTATGCTCTACTAAGAATTAATATCAGTTTTGTAAAACGAGTCGGAACTTCCAGCTTGGATTGTCACTTTGGCCTTCCAAAAGGATTTTTTTATATTAAGTCAAAATATTGGCTAATGTATAATACACCGAAAATTTTGCAGACGTAACCGAAGCTCGTATATTATGATTTATTCAGTGTATTACACTCGTGGACAACATCTGAGGTGGTAGTAGTAATTTACCAAAAAGTAATTAAAAAAATCCAAATGTCTCTCATCCACTCGACCACTGTTCCAATTTATTATTTTTTTTGCCACGTACGTACAAATGATCTTTATCTTACGTAATCGATCAATGAAAGCGGTGTTATAAATCACCTTGCTTGCGCTGAAGAAGTTTCAATTACCCCTTGATCAACTCCTCAAGGAAGTCTAAATTAAACTCAACTGGTTCAAAATCCGGCTCCGGTTCTTCATCAATCCAGTCCAACCAGGGCAGGGTTGAAAAAGTTGGATCAGATCTCGTCCTTGACAATCTTCTTCCAATGTCTTTCCTGAGTTGCTTAAAAGTTGACATGTCTGCGGTTTCTGTGAATGTTTTGGCTGGAGCGCTGACCCGGCGTCTTCTTGGGAGATTTTCATTCAGGTTTTGCTCCTTTTTATAAATTTCCGCGATTATTTCTTCTTTTAAAACTTCATTGTCTTCACTCTCCTCGCTTTCTTCTTCCACGCTTTGCAACTCGGGCCAAGCGATGATCAAAGATGATTGAGTGTTCTTCCGTTTAGGGAAAATGAGTTCCACATCTTTTTCCGAAGCGTCTAGTCTTCCAAACGATGTGGCCGGTGCACTGATTCTTCTTCTTCGCTGAATATCAACTTTCTGCTTTTGCTTCACACCTTCCTCTTCGATTTCCTTTAGATTTTCTGAAATTTCACTGAACGCATGTTTCATGAGTACTTCAAAACTCCCTCCATTTTTGCGCATCCTCTCTGAACCTTTTTCGGGCCTCATCTCAAGGAATACTTGAAAAAAGAAAAAACCCAAATGGAATATTTCTAACCACGAAACCGTCTTAGCTAAACGGACCACCCGATTGGAGATAGTTAAGGAAACTGTCGTATTTTAACGATATGTATGAACTTTGTAGTTTGATTAATGATACGTTTGTCTTTCTTGTGCCTAAAATATCAATGTTTTCATGTAATTACGGTATTTAATGATCTGTTTAGGCTCCTCATACGCCAAATATCGTCCACCTGACCGGGTGTCGCGTGATCGATCCTTTCGAGTGATGGTGCTCAGATAAATATCAAAATTCATCCCGCTGTCTTTTTTTCGTTCCGTAAAGAACATAATCTCTTCCGTCATACACTTAATGTTGACAATGATATGATAAGATGGAAAATTTTCGTCTTCTTAAAATTTCGCTGGTTTCAATTTTTTTTTTTTTGCGAATCACGCTTTCGTCATTCTTACCGGAGTGTGTAGCGACTATATATTAATGACACTTATTGCAAATAAGATAATTTTTAATGCAGAATAACTTATCAGTATGAGCGGTTATGAAACTTTCTTTTCAAAAAGCCCGTTTGTTTTAAAAGACGCGCGGTAGAGGTGGGAAAAAAGATGCGATTAGATACGTGTGTTCGTCGAGGATGACTCACGCTATACGTGTAGTCGCATGAGTCGTTGGTTGTTCATCATACGCCTGAAGACTATCAACCCCTGCCCTCCTCCAAGAGTGCTTGCCACGCGACCAAAGTTTTCGATGAAAGCTATCTGACTTAAGTGGGCGGTAAATCGAATATCGATTGATTCAATTCTCTGGAAGTTTATGATGCAAATATTAATCAACAAGCGCTTTAGGAATTATTTACTAGACTTTTATTGAATTAATCAATAATGCAGTTTAACTAACATTAACATCATAAAACTCAAAGCCGATGACTCTCGATCGAGGATCATTGTGTTCATTTTCTATTTCAGATATTGTACACAAACAAATACAAAAGCATGAAAACATCAGCAATATTTTAAAATACCCCTCCAAACTAGTCTAACAGGTTTTTCATTCCCATTTAACCCCTAGTGGTGAGGGTGTAATGCCTTCTCTCAAACCTTTAAGTCACTTCATATGAGTGCTAAGTTACAAATAATCTGTACTAAAACAGTAAATAATCTTGATATCCTCTTTGCGGCCTTTCGAAATTTTGTGACTCAGGGAACTCCTATGTTTTGGAATTGCGATGCAGCGTGAATCTAACATGACAACTCAAGTCGACCAAATAAGTGTACCAAACACTAAAAAAAATTAGTAGACTAAAAAACTCTGCCACAAACAAATTTTTGCTATGAAAACAACTCTACTCACTTGTCATGTGACACGAGTAAAATGATTCATAATGGACGAAGCAAGAGTCGCGTGATTTCGTCACATGCTGCAAAAGTGTTACAGTGTAACTAATAATACTATTTTGTTCTCTGCGAAATGTGTCTGAACTAAAAGGAAACTACGGAACGCTATTCGAAAGGGTTGGTAATTTTATCCTATACCCAGCTCAGTAGCTTATTAAATGTTACTCATTAAATATAAATTAAATTTTTAAAAAGGACCTGAACGCTGGCAGTGGAATCATTTACTTACTAACTGCTTGGGAGGGTCCAGCAGACAGAAACCACATAATTGGATTATTTCTGTCAACATACCGAAAAATTGTCGCAAATTAAATTCTTGACGCGCAATTCTGTCTGTGCGGTTCCTCGGAAGTGAATATTGCTTACTAATGTATTCCTGAGAACTGGGCAATCGGCGCGCACGAAAAGTATAATATGTCCTGCCTTTAAAAAAACTGGAGCATGATCTCGTCATGGCCAAGAAGGACTCTACACCGATCTGGCTGCAGTCCTTCATGGGCATTTTGAATCATCAACAACAGCAACGAGTTTATAGTTAATTTTCATGTTACCCTTACATATAGTCATCCAAGAAGCCTAGATTGAATTCAACTGGAATGAAATCTCCCGAAGGCTCCTCCCAGTCACTACAATCCATCCAAGGTATCAACGAGTATTTAGAGTCTGAACGTGCGCGAGAAAACTTCCTGGAAATCTCCTTTTTTAGTTGCTTTAAAGTTGTCGTCGTTTCTGCTGTAGTTCTTGGACTGAGTGCTTTGACGGAACCTCTGACTTGTTGTGTTTTCAAAAGCTTAATTGTCTCTGCTTTTTTGTTGTCCTTCATCATTTCTTCGATGTAGTCCCAACTCGTGTCAAGCGGGTCACCGTCGACATCCTCTCTATCAAAACTCTGCCATGATGGCGAGATTAACAAAGCTGACTGTGATAGCTTTTTTCCGCCTCCATAAAACCCATGTTCTAATTTGTTCTTCAGCTTTTCTGAACCTCCGTACGGTTTGGCTGGTGCACTAACTCTTCTTCGCCGCTTGAATTCCATTTTTTCTCGTATTTCAAAATTATTATTTAGGTCTGTTTCTGTCACACACAATGAGATTCCATCTTGATACATTGCCTCCTCTCCAATAGCCTTTTTTCCGTTCCTGAACTTAGGTAGGTATTGTTCGGCTATAGATAAGAGTAGTGAAATTCGTTGAAACTTTAAAACCATATGAACAACGACCCCTTAAATTGGCGCGCACGTAAAAATGACAAATGTATTACTTTACCTAAGCGACCGAAATACCAGTTGATTCAGTGATATGGTCAGAAACTGACATTATGAAAAATACAACGATGCCTTACCTTTCCACTGAATTTATCCGCTGCTTCTTCCACTACAGGTTGCGACTCTCAAGCTTCTTAAAATTTTTACAACGATGATTGTAGTTACACGCCGTACTATATGCGACTCACTTTGCTGCCCACGTGACCTACATACGGGAGTGCACTTCACGCGATAAACAAGCTGTAATCACGCAATTTCGGCATTAGTCACGTTATTCATACGGCGGACTTATTTGACGGTTGAAGTATGTTATTTTCAAGCGCAAATCGACATCACGCTGTGATCTTTTTCATGAAACACTACTTCCCTTTTCGATTACTTCAAGGCAAATTACAACAATGATGCAATTGTTGCATAAAAAAAAAAGTTGAGCTGAGTGGATTCAAATAGCTGAAAAAGAGGACGTCGAGACTCGTCGATCACGAGAATCGTCACGAGGGAAAAAAAACCTTCGATCAAAATAACTTTACTGAGCTTTCTCTTCGGTATTTTGACCTTTTGCCAAGATTTTGCGCAGAATTTTAAGAACAACACTCGAGAAAAAATTTTGAGAAGGAAAAGAATATGCCAGACCTCTTGAATTGCATTCAATTTTAGACCAGGAGTTGATAAGTTGTGAACTTTATATGACTAGGATTGCCGACAGGAGAGCAGAGTGAACCATGTGATTCAGCGTCAGTGAAAATAGGGTGTGACGACTGGTCACGGTAGAGAAATGATTGTGTGCACGATTTCACCGGCGAGCCGAGACAAGCCCACATCGATGTCGCCACAGACGTTGAGATCCCTGTAGGAATTGAAAAGAGCAACCCAGTGCGCATTCTTTCGATTTTTCATCCGCTTTCGTCAAGAATAGTGGTGCCGGCTCGCTTATGCTCGCAAACAAAAAAATACTTGAAAGGAATTAAACCTAAGCATATGCTATTTCCAACAGTTAAAGAACGATTCCATTGCGCTGGCTAACTTGCCATTTTTCGCTCGTCTTTACTTAGTGAGAGCCAGTGTAACAGGCTCTTAGGAAAGCTGTTTGTATCGACCATTACTAGTTTGGTGATCGTAAGAGCAAGAATAACTTCATTGATATGAAGAACAATTTGAAGCCTCTTCTTTGCTTTAGATCGACTAAATGTTCTTACTTTACGTGAAAGTGGTGAACAATGGGGTGTGAAAAGTCCGATGCCCTGACACGTAGCTAGAGACTGACCAGCTGATCCCAAAATGCTATAACTGGTAATTTGGCATTCTATACAAACTTATCCAGGATAAGTCCTAAAAAATTCTCACTTCTATTTTTATGCCTATAAAACTTCAAATACATGCAATTTTTCTTCAGTCCTTCGTCATCCACGCTTTGTCAATCATAGACACCACTTATGCTTGCTAGCATAACTTACTCTGCAGGGGATCATCTTTAACAACTTCTGCTCATTTTCGATAAAAGAATAAGCTACTTTTGAAAATGTCATAACCTTTACTTTACTTGCTTCTGAAAAGGAGGGGGGGAGGGGCGCTTTTTCCCCCTTCCCCCCAAAAAAACCTGCCGGGGAGGGGTGTAAACACCAAGGATCGTGATCGGCCTTTAACATCCTTTTTTGCTGGTCCTTTTTTACGCCTGAGCACGAGCCCGCTTATTTTACCCCTGACCTCTCCTTTAAGAGAGGAGACCCCCACTAAGTAAGGTCTTCTGGAGCAGGGCTTGGTTTTAAATGCACAAAAACTCCATATTAACAGCGGCTGTTTGTATCTTCTCAGAAAGAACTTACAAAACAAAATACGCTACCAAACAAACCACTGCGAACAGAAAGACATGTTATTGTACTTCAGTGTCTTGTACCTATTCATTTGATAACACTCTTGAAATGGACTAAGTCTCTAGACTCATATTTTGTACGAGGGATCATTTTGATCGCAAATTCTCTCTAAAACGGGCTTCAAAGTTGAAGATCCGGCGGTACACTCAGAACATATTCGAGCAGCCCCCGCCGGAATTTATTACCGACATGTATTGTGCCGACTCACTTACGGCTGACCTTACTGTGGTGCGACCTTTCTTCTGCATACGTTACCACAACCATTAGTTAGCTCGCCTAACTGGTGGTTTGATTAATGTTCTTTATATTACATGCAGACTTCAAAATTCTCGAATCTGTGACAAATTTGTTCAGTAATTTGTGATCCACAACCCATCCCAGCTAGCTCCAGCTCCTTGTAGAGAGAAATCGTGCACACTAGTCTAAAAATAAACATCTTTGATGGCAGTTATAAGGCAATTGACGCCGAGAATCATAGCTCAACCCGCGGGCAGTTTATTACTTCATTTAAAAGAAACGAAGTGATCAACGTCAGTCGCCAGACAAGCTATACAAGAAACCTGGCGAAGAGGTATTCAAACCGATACAATCTGTTGAATGTTTCTAAATTTATCAACTTTTTTTAGCGCTTGGCCTGTTCTATGCCTCATTGCCCCCAAGAAGTAAACAACAAACCCACCACCTTTGTCTATGTTTTTTTCATTTTCTAAAAATACATTTTAACTTCATATGCTCTACATACATTAGCACGAACACCAATTTATCTATTATTGCACATAGTTTTTCACGGTTTCTACGATTTCGAATAACATTTTCATTATGTTACAAGTTTTATATCTTGTTCACAGAAATTGTTCAGATTTCTCGGTATATTCTGACTAGAGTGTTCACAAATATATCTTCATCATCAGCCAACCATATCTACCTCTTCACCTGCCTACGAAAGTTAAATCTAGTTGAATTTGTGCCGTAGGTTTCACTTTGTAGTTTTTCCTTCAATCTCGTACGCTCGATAATCATAACAATATTGACACTTGATTAAAGAAACGAACTCTCTTCCCCACAGAGCAGAGCACTCCTCACAGTTTCATCAAAGCTCTTCGTCAAAAGTTACTAGATATTCCTTTTAGCAAAACCTCCTAACGCCTTACTAAAGAAAAAAACTCTCTGACTTACGGAGCAAAGCAATCCTCAAAGTTTCACTAAAGTTCTTCGTCAAAAGTAACTGGTAATTTCTTTTAGCAAAGCCTCCTAACATAGGCTGGTTCTTAACTCATAGAATAAGCAAAACGATTGAAGATTAAGTTGTGTAACTTTGCCCTGTTAAAGCTCTCGAGTGCAAATGCAACGTTTCATCTCAGATGGGAAAACAATGATCTCACTTATAGAGCTACGTCCTTCGCTCTGACGAAGGGCTAAAACCCGAAACGTCTGCTTGAACTCTTAACAGTGGTCAATTTATATTTTCAACTCAGTTGATGAAGCTAAATTATGATGTAACACCCCACCAACGTCGCACCACACTTTCTTTAGAAACTTACCCCATTATCACTGCCCGTTATCAAATTGGAGAAAAACTTACAAAAATCTTACGATAGGATGTTTCAATACTAGAACCACAAATGAATCAAGCAAGGGCGAAATAATTTCAGGTTATTTATATTATGATGCAAGGTTGTTCATCAGTCTTCCATAGCCGTAAGCTAAAATTTCGCCGGTGGGTTAACTTTAGGTGAGGTAAGCCAAACTTTACTTTACATCGTTGAAAACTTAGTGTTATTCTAACGGGAGATATCTCGCCAAAGATCTACGCCCTCTATAAAGATGGGCCCTGAAACCTCCAACTATCCTCGCAGTTCCAGGGTTTGTACAAGTCGATGGTCTTGATTCAATGGCGGCAGTGGTCCATTTTAAAATCCGCCCTGTCCTTCCGATTCATCACGGAAACCCTTTGAAAAGCTGACTCAGTCGTGAAAAGGTGAAGACAATGACCTGTCAAATTCAACTTGTTTCTTTGGTTCTTGCAAAGATTCCGACGATCGTCTCATCAAAGCGGCAGGGGCACTACCTCTCCTTCTCTCGAGATCAATTATTTTCTCTCTTTGTTTTTTAGTGTCTGCTTTGATCTCCTTGAGATTCTGAAATATTTCACTGAATGCATCGCTCATGGCCTTTTCAAAACTTGTCCCATCGCTGGGGTTGATTTGTGTCTGTTTCTTGGCCTTGTCTTTGTTCATGACAATGTAATCGAAAACTGAGCGAAAATCTTGTCGAGAGAACTGTAATCTGTCACTGCAAGTGTATTTCAAAGCAGCCAGCTTCACGCCTGAAAACTTTGAAATGGTTTGGCTTGTAAAACTGATCTCTAGCTTAATTTATTCTTTATGCCGACAATATTCACAGCCAATCGAATTCCACTTCGAGCATTTATCAAGTCATGGCTTGTGGCATTTAGACGTTTCAGATGCATGTCTTTATTTCACGCCTCCTTAAATTTGAATTCGTTCTTCTTCTAGAAAAACTGCCCCAGGCACAAGCAGTGAGTTTATTAATACAACTTATTTAATATGGAAAAGTTTCTGATCTTCTAATTAAAACACACTCAGCTAAATACAACCTAATTAGATTGTTAGAGCATTTGAATCCGTGCAGAAACACGATATGACAAGTACACTTAAAAACCAATTAAACATCATTTTAGTCGAGTACGTACCGCATCAGAATCTTCTCGTGCATGGTTCAGTGTTTTTACTATCTATGCATGGCTATGAACCCTACAATTCCACTATTTTGCTTCTCCCTAGAACGGCTTTTGTTCCTATACAACCAAGAAGACAACAGTCCCTACTTCACCTCCCGAACCCAATGTAGCCATTTTGTCTGCAGAATATTCCTCCCGTTGCCTTGGCTACCACACATGCATTGACAAAATTTATTTTGGGTTCGCTTGTGAAGGAGTACGTAACAACATTATGTAGCAACAACCGCACTAGGTAGTTTTTGACGATGAAATTTAGTCACCTCCAAAGTTCGGCCGGACTTCTTAAATATATCAGCTTGACAATAGCAAAAATATCCAAAGTGGGAGGAATAACAAACAGACTTTAAAAAGATATGCAAATATTTTTTCGGAAGCACAAAAGCGCGACTATACGTGGGTCATTTAAGACTTGACTGACTTGACCGGTTACCCCCGCATATAAGACCTCTTACTGCCCTCTGTTTAGCCTGTGGAAAGGCTCCCGCGCTTAGCTCTGTCTTTACCGCCTATCACATCATCGTCGACCATCGTCGACAGCCGTGCATGGAAACAGTTATATAAATCCCTGCTTGA